ATATATATATATATACATAATATATGTCTATCTTCATCGTGTATATACATATATACACATGAAAGAAAAAGACAATGAATAAGTATATACATTAAATAACGACAGACAGTTCTTATCTATTTCCTTCTTTACCTGTATTTATATTTGCTTATAGTAATGACATAAGGTATCGTGAAAAATACTACGATACAGCATCAAATACTATACCCGAATATAAAGCCATGAATCATGCAACAGAGTACATTATATAATCGCAGCAAATGGTTTCTGGCAGCCTCGAGGTTACTATTCAAGGCTTTGGGACCTAAGGAGTGTGAACCAATTCAGGAGCTTTTTACAAATCCGGGAATTCAGTTCGCTCGGAAAATCACAGCTCCTGCATACATGGCGAGGCACGGCACGTCCCCTGATACGGTTGAAAAAATGAGAAGCCAATGAGAGGCCTGCATTCCCCTCAACCCTGAACCCCTAAACCCACCTTCGACAGAGGCTCCTCGAAGCCAACACCGGCACGAAGTCTCGACACTGCTCGAGCATTGTCGAACTGATCGACAAAGACTGGCCTTGCAAAAGAGAGCTACAGGGCTATAGAGTTTCCGTACTCACTCTGGGACTAGCGCTATAGGGTCTCAGGGCAAAAGGGTGTAGGGCTTAGGGTGGCAAAGGCCCTGCAGGATCTTTCGCTTTCAAGAGCAGGCCCCGTTGTTGCAGTCGGTACATCGTTCCCCGAGATCGTTTTTCCAGCAAGCAACAGCATGCTGGGCTCTTTGTACTTCGTTGTGAGGCTGTCTGGCGCAGAGCGTTGAAAACCGGCTGCGCTCAACAACCTTCTGAGGACGAGTCAAAAGAAGTATGTGTTGCACTTCTGGTTTGTTTGTTGATTGCATGTTTGTGTTATAGAGAATGCAGTTAAAGTATGCCATAATATCACTATAACCATATATCTTCTGGACTAGCAACACATGTGCATCCAGCAAAAGTTCAGGAAGTTACAAATATTGCACTGAGGATTTCGCGTGGGACGCGCCTCGTATGAGTGCACGTGCACGCATCGCAGGTTGCAAATTGAGAATAATTATGTCGCAGCTGCTTACAAGCATGACATTGCGGACTATGCTTACGTGGTGGCAGCAAAGCACATATCGACGAAGCATCATGCGGCATGGGCGGTGCTTGGCAGCGCCAGAAACGAACTCTACAATCAACTACTCAGCCAATCAAAATTGAGAACCGTTCGATACACCCGAGGCTGAGGCATTCAACCACACGTCACATTGTAAACAAAAGAGGGGTCGACCCAGTCGCCCTCGCGCACAGACCTAGAGAAGTTTGATCTTGGGCACGACCATCCACACCACCAGTGCCACAGCCACTGTGGGCACGCAAAATAGCAACCCGGCTGCGATTGGAGCCTCCGGAAGCAACACTGTGAATGTTGACAGGTCCCACGCGACAAAGCAAACAAAAATACAAAGCCCGCAAAGAATGACAAGCGATGACGCGAGTATTTCTAGCAGGTACAAGCTGCGCCGCCTCCGCAAATAGTATGCCAGCCGGAATAGGAGTAATATTAGGGAGGGAGACATAGCCAACCCGTATGTCAATCCACACATCAGGCTGTGCATGCCCTCCGCATACTCGCCAACCCGAAAGTGGTCAAAGACAACATCCAGGTAGCCCCAGGTTATGGGCACCGTGACGGTTACCAGCTGCCCGTAAGAAATGACTTGATTGGAGAGCTGATCCACGAGGATTCGCAGGACGTCTGATCGTACTCGATGCTCGAAGGCTTCGATGGTGCCAAACCAAATTTGAATACATTGTAAAATGACCTTCCGGTCACATGCCACTGGCATTCCCGATGCTGGATCCTTGTGCCCCACGCAACAACACCAACTCACCAGCTTACCGACACTGAAGGCTGCAATATCGTCTCGCACTTTCTCTATTGTTCGGCAGTAATCACGACCCATGTGAGCAGTCAGCCAGAAGTTCACAGTTGACAGCAGGAGCACGACCATCCAAAAGTACCAGAAACCATCTATGAGGACCCAAGCAAACGTGGTTACAGCGTTGAAAATGATCAGAGAAAAGACTGTAATGTGAAGTAAGGGGCCCAACAGCGTAGGGCGGATGGTCAGCCTGATCTTGGAGCCTGCTTTCCGACTGTGTAAGTAGGCGGCGAGTTCCAGTAAGCACCACAACCGGTCCATGAACGTCGGATCCCACAAGACGAGCATCGCATCAGAATATCTTAAGAAAGCACCCAAACTGAGCATCGCCTCTGCTTTCAGCTTTTCATCATCTGAGATGCAGATCCTGTCCAAAAAAACCAGTTGCCGCCTTCGCCAGAAAAGCAAGGTGAAGACATACGTGAATGTCGCAAAGATCGAGCACCACCCCAGGTGCCCAAAAATGCTTGGCAAGATCCTGTAGCAATAAAGCAACCCTCCCAAAACAGCTGAAGCCGATCCTACGGTTGCAGCTGCAGGACCATTGTTCGAAAAGAAGAGAAAAGCGATCTTTTGCCAAGTCGACCCGTGCCAACTATGCGACCAAAATGATTCAATTCTTGTCGTCACCTGGCTCCGTCCAAAGTAGTCGCCGTCAAAGCTGCGCAGAGGTCGGGCCAGGCACCGCAGCGTCTCAAATGCTGGCGTGGCACGCAGAATCTCAGGTGAGGTTGGCTTCATCGCAGCAACTACATTGCAGCACAGCTCATCGATGTCCTCGGACTCGGAGGAAGCATCGTCATCCGTTGGATGTCCGAGCATGAACCTATACTTCCAGCTGAACCTGATCCACTTAAAGCAAGACTTGAGCCTTGAGCTCTCTCTCTCTCCCTCCGCCCGTCTCTACACCGAAACACCAAGCACTGTCCGGAACCTGGGGCCTCAAGCATTCGGGGATGAGCTACAATCCAAAAGAACAAGCTTAGCAGCCACAGCGACGGTAGCATGCAGCGGAGAAACAAAACCGAAACAGTCTTACGGGAAGGGCGTGACCGTGCCCCAATTCTCTGCATCTCCGTCTCCCTGCTTGCAGGACTTCACGAGGCAACAACAGGAAAACCAACGATCTCTGAAAAAGAACAAGCGAAAGACCTTTTGAGATGCATCCAGATCTGAGCCCGGCACGTCACCACCGACCTCGGCAAAGCACCGGCATAGAGAACATGTTTGCTGCACCACTTCGGGTCGCGAAAACAGTCTTCATTCATACCGATATCGAAGTTCAAGCCCCTAGAGTCCCCAGAATGCAGGCGTGCTGTCTGGACAACTTCAAGAAACGACGTCGCGACTCAGGAGCTTGCGGGACTTCTGCACGCATGGCTGTCTGCCTCGGATGACTGATGACATGCTTCGATGCATGGGATCAGCTTGTCTTTCACTGGAAACCTCCACAGACTAGCAGCGAAGTTCGTAAAACTACTTGCGTGCGTTGGTGGCACAGCTGTTCTGCAAACACCACGCCATGGTGTGTCGTGAATAGCAACCGAGGCACACTGTTCCCGCACCACCGTGGTGAACCAAGCAGCTGCAGTGTGGAAGCAGCCAGGTCTGCGCAAGAACGCATCTTTCACGCGGGCCACATGGCTTGTATATATGTACGGTACCCAGTGGTCGACCCAATGTGACTGGCATGCAGGAGGGACAGGAAATAACAACAAGCCACTGAACAGTCGCTGCCCCTTGCTGTGTAGCAACATGTTCTCCAAAATCGCAAACCCTGGTCCTGCACCACCAACGGCACTGCATTCAAGGCCATTTTTTCGAAACCACGTAGGGTAAAGACGAAATCTGCGTCTACACAATAAGCCTCCAGACCCACAATACCAATTCGTGAAGCTTAAACGAAATTTCAGGGGCACCTGATACCCACACACATCCACTGCTGCACGGCGGCATGAGGCACATCGGCAACGAAGCACACGCTGCTTCGCGCAAATTCCGCCAGATCACTCCATCCCTGGCTGATACAAGGCGTGTCATTGAGTCGTCCGAAGTCGTTCGTACTTCCAATATGAGGAGTCTTGAACGCTTTGGTTTGCTGTGGAGTGTGCGCGCCACAGGGCCCTAATTCATTGCAAGACTGTTCGCGGACCCGCGCGTTTGCATTGCCGGATGCCCTTGCATGTGCAAAAAAAATATTGTACTGAGTATTCAGAGTGTAGACTAAATCCTTCATATTGAGGCGAATCGCAGAGATATGTATATACACGACGTGGTTTAGAGACATACGCGCTAGAGTCACAAGAAACGCCACCCAGATCTGAAAACTCCCGGCGCCGCGAACCTCGTCGACCAGGTCACCATTCAGCAACCGATCTCCCAACCTTAAGGCTTACTTGGAGGATCATGGGACTTAATAAGTAAGGTTATAAGTCCCCCAATTGAAGGTTATAGGTATAGTTACCTTAGTTAGGGTTTAGAGATGTTCGTAGACCCTAAAATCTGTCAGGGTTTGGTGTTTAGAAGGGTTTCATGGGTTTAGAGATGTTCCTTTTTTAGACAGGCTTGAACCCTAAACCTTAAGGGCTTAAGGGTTATATGTTTAGGGCTTCAAGGTTGTAGGGCTGACGCCGTGGGGCTCCACACGGTTCAGGCAGGTATTCACCAAAACGAGCTGGAACAATCTCAAAGGCAAGTGCACAAACCACGGCTCAGAATACAGTCGCGAACAACACTTATAATTTGCTATATTGGCAAGACTCTGTAATACCCGTTGCCTGAGCCACTCTTGCTGGTCGGACCAGCAAACCAGCTCGTCCCATACGTCTTGGCCTAAACACCTCAACCACGCCAATGGAATAACCCTTTGTCCTGTTGCAGCCAGGCCTCCTGACCCTCTTCCTAAACCCTGAAACCTTCAGGACACACCCTAAACCCTAAACCCCAAATCCCTAAACCCTCAGGATCAAGGCCCCCATAATTACAATACGCCCTAATCCCTCAGGATCAAGGCCCCCATAATTATAATAGTACCCCACCCCAGGAAGGATAAAGGTTACCCACTCCGCTACTAAGGAGACCCTATAGACCCTAAACCCTAAACCTGCACTTTTTTCACGTCAGCGTGTCGGCAGATGAGGCAGTCCTCGTGCTTTGTCTACCTTTTGGGGGCCTCGCGGTGTCTTCTCAAGTTTTTAGGATCGTTTAGGGTTTCCAGTCACACACTCGCAACTGCAGGCATGGCAATACGTGTCCGAATCGTTTAGGGTTTGGTGTCTTGGCTCAGAGTTCAGGGTTTTTAGGTTCTTCAAGCCAAGATCGTGGGAACAAATGAATTGGGATGCTCAGGCTTTAGGGTCTGCAAAGACAGGGCTAAAGTGCCGAATCTTGTGAATTCAAGCCTAATGCTCTCGAGAAAAGAGGAGCTATGGCACGCTAAGAGTCCAAAGTACCCAATGATTTTTGTCCACCCGCCCAGCTGGCACCCAATGATCTGGTAGTTGGGTTTAGGGTCGTGCAAACTAAATGATGGCATTGTGGGCGGTATACGAATCCATGATTACTCGGCACTTGCACCCTAGGAATGGGAACCTCCTTACGCGGCTCCGTTTAGCTAAGGCCAACTCCCATCATGCCCGGGACTGAAAACGCTTACTATTTTTGGGTACACTTCTCTATTATTACTGCCATGATGGTTTCCGTTTACTAATGGTAATATTTTGTAATACTTCTCTTGCCATTACATGCTGAAGCTTGGCAACCTGCCCACGATTGACATGCTGTGGGCCTACAGATGAGTTTCACAAGCATGACGCAGCCTCCCCTGTCACGTCTACGTTTCGGCTGTGGCTATGATGGACCGGGACAGTTAGGCAGCCATGAATCAGGGAGGCCCGAAACCAGTATCGGCAAACCACCGGCTAAGAAGAACTCCGGGTTGACTGGGGCAAACAAAGCATGTCGGGGGCTTTCGAAAACTCCTAGGGAACACTAAAAGACCAGTGCCGTCTTATAGAGAGCCCCGTGCCATCAACCCATCGTTCTTGGGCATTGCCCGCCGACTACTTGGTCGGTCCATGAGAGTCTTCTGCTCCGAGTAGGGGGGCAGTGGCGGTGTGGCACTTCTGGCTTTTAGGGCTCAGGGCCCGGGGTGAAGGCTTGCTCTACGGTCCTCTCCTTATAGTCATAGCGCATATTGAGTGGTCGCCCAGTGTTGCACAAACTGTTCCTAAACTTTGTTTCTCAGGCCCCTGAATCTGACAGCGCCGCTAGTGTTGCTTCTCCAGAGCATCGACCACATCTATAGGCCCTGTCTGAAGGGTCTGTTAGCAAAGCCGGTGGCCTGTTTTCCTACAAATTGCTTTCCGCTTCAATGCTTGGGTTTCGAGGCCTCCAAGTCTTCGCACAGTGCCACATCGCTGAGCTACTGCGGTGCTTAAGTGGATTCGCATCTTCGCTCTGCACATATGCCACGATTCCCAATCTCTTACGGTACCAACCTGTTCGAATTGGAAAACTTTTCCGACCATCGAAAACTTTCACTGTGTGTATGTGCATTAAGCATATATGTATATATATATATATACATATGTATATGTATATTCATATCTTATATGTATATATATATATATACCCACAAGTACACGTATGTGTATGCATGCATACACATCAACGAAACGCATCCTCCTCTGGATAGTACTAGCACAAACATCCGGCAACAAGACGGCCTTACATACATTTGATCAACGTGGAATAAGTCATAACATAATAACGGCGAGCTGTGCCAACTCAAACGAAATGGCCAGCATGTGTCGGCATCCTGCTCAATCGGTAGGTAACGAAACTGTCACAAAGTCAGTGAATATATATATATATATATATATATGTGTGTGTGTGTGTGTGTATGTATGTATATATATATATATATGTATACATGCATGTGTATGTATATATATATATATATACCATGTACCAGCATAGTAATTTCTAAAACGTTCATGTGGCACAGTACAACATTGCAGCACAGCATGTTTTTTGGAGTTACTGCTGAGTCTTTATCGGAGTAGATCCCTGATTGGCTGCGCTAGCGCCAGTGCGAACCTTGTCGTAAGATTGCATATCTATGCCGCGCCTTGGCCAGGCAAGGCAAAAACAACGATCGCATCCAAGCGACGAGAACAGTCGGTAACCCAAGCTGGTCTCCTGAACTTGGTCCGGGTTTTTGCTCCGAGTCTGTATTGACCCATTGCTCCCAGACGGCGTCGAGGAGAGCAAAGCAATAGGCTACCCACCGGGAGATGCATGCAAATGCCGAGTTCCGAGCATTGCCTCCTTTGCCTTCGGACTTGGGAAGTGGAGTCCTGAAGTTGCGGCTTTCTGAAAAGTTGCCATACTGAAGTCGAGCATTATCATACTACAGCCTGCTCTAGGCATGCGCAAGTTCTCCGACTGATGTACTAGTATCTATGCTTAGCCCAGGTGCCTTGAAGGCCCAAGCGGCATCCGATGGGCCAGAACAGAAACTAAAGTTTAGGGTTTAGGGTTTTAGGGTTTATAGGGTTTAGGGTTTAGGGGTGTAGGGTTTAGGGTAAGCTCTACCGAAAACAGAAAAACCTCCGGGATGCTCAGGGGCCGAGTCGTTGAGGCTAGGCCGAAAATATGACCAGCTTAAAATCGGGGCCTTAATAATTAGAATAGGGTTTTGGGGCTATAGTATAATTATGTAATATAAGGAGCCCGCCAAATAGTAGTGGTAATTATTTAGGTGCCTACAGTGCTGCCCAGTCCTCAGAGCTGCGAGGCACGCTGGAGAATATGAGAGAGATATCCGGTGATTGCGAGGACAGCACCTACCGCCACCCTCTGAAAAGGGCATCTCGGGCCGTGCCACAGGGCTCTATCGGACTCTAGCGGTCTCGCGGGCTTGCAAGCTTGCAGTACTTGAGGACCTCCACCGGCGAATACGAACTTTTAGCTGCTGCCTCTATGGATGGGCGTGCACCTAGCTCCTGCATACACACCTACCAAGACCGGCCTGCGCGCATCACTTATGTATGCGAAGACATGCTCTCGCACGAAAAGCAGCTATGACTGCGCGCCTGGCCAAGCCTCTTCTCAGCATCATCACATGTGGGTAGAGCTCGGTATGCTAATCTCGCTCATCGTGTTTCTCTTCCCTCTCTGTATATACATGTTAGATTCACCTATATACGTGTGTATATACACATATATATATATATAGAAAAATATGTGTACGTATATACATATGTATATATATGTACATATATATATATATATGTGTGTGTGTGTGTGCGCATAATATGTATAAGTATGTATATAATACTATATATATATATATCTCTCTCTCATTATTTGTATCGATCGATGTACCAACCTACCAACCTACCTACCTACCTACCAACCTACCTACCTACCTACCTACCTACCTACCTACCTACCTACCTACCTACCTACCTACCTCTGTGGTTCTCTCTGTCTCTCTCTCTCTCTCTCTTTTCTCTCTCTCTCTCTCTCTCTCTCTTTCACTGTCTATAAATAAATATATACATGTGTGTATATGAAGCTACGGAATGCACCACCAGAATAGCCTCACCATCATTGCCACCATGTATCGCCACTAGCATTGCCATCTGCTAGTTACGACCACCGCAACATGCCAAGGTTTTAATGGCAACCACATCCTTCCTATTGCAACGACACTGCGAGTGCTCCTCTTGCTGTTCTGCCGATAAGTGTGTGTATATATATATATATGTATGTACTACTATTATTATTATTACTAGATTATTATTACTATTATTACTATTAGTATTTTTTATTGTTATGGTTATTATTATGATTATGATTATTATTATTACTACTATATATATATATAATGTGTGTGTCCCCAGGGCCCAAGAAGTTTTCGATGACGGTCTCTCCTGTTGCTGCATGTCAAGTTCAGATTTCACCTGGCGTTTTTGAACAAGCAAAGTGTGTGTATCTATACTAAGAACTAAACACAACACACACAGACACACACAAACACACATCGATATATATATATATATATGTATGTATGTGTATGTATATGTATATGTATATACACATACACACACACACACACTCAGATGTATATATTGTATAGTATAGCCATATGCCAAAGTCTGAGTCAACATGTCCTGTGCTTGTCACCGTGTTTTTATTGGGGCTCGCAGATGCTTCGAGCTTTAGGTGGCGGTGCTGCTCTGGCCGTCCGGAGGATCACGTCCTCTGATTTCCAGACGCTGGCTAAACTCACAACCCAAACCGATATCCGCAGCCCCACCTGCGATCCTGCCAGCCCTGAGCCCCAAAGAACCTAAATCTCCCAGCCCTTGTAGCC